TAATTTACCTTATGGATTTGGTAAATGATATCGGGTTGGGTTATACTTAAAATGTCATTGTTGCCTTTCAGGGGCCTGGCATGGTCTTTAAACTCTTGACCTTGGAAGCTTTCTTCACTGAGCTTGTACCGCTGAATCATGGTCCCCATCCCTCCATCCAGCACCAGAATCCTTTTCTGGAGAATGGCTTCAATCTCATCCTGCTGGGCTTTCTTCGGCGCACCTTTAAACAGGGTGACAATCTGACTTCAGAGAATGAAAAGTGAACAAAAAGATGTGTGGAGAGGGAAATGTAGAGTCAACTATAAGGGAACTCATTGAAAAAAAAATGCATCAGAGAACTACGGCCTCTTAAGCCACAAACAGTGATGCCAAAAGAAAAGAAAAAAAGGTGAACACAATACAAAGTCTCTGGTAAAGCCTCAACCCTCGGTCAGAGCAGCTCAGTGAGCTCCGCTTCCCAGGAGAGGAAAACCGGGACAGGAGGCCCGGCCCACAGCCCGGGGCTCGGGGCTCGTTCCTGCTCTCCAGGGCTGACTCGGGGTCACCACGCCCCCCTCCCCCCCCCTCCCCGGCAGAGCCGGGGATCTACTTCGAAGTGGAGGAGCCGCCAACAGGGCCTCTGCAGAAGCAGAAGCACCAGCGCGCGGCTCCCCGTCTCACCGAGCTGCGGGGGGCGCCCTCAGCCCCGCGGCACCTCAACGTCCCGGGGCAACTCTGCCCACTGCGTGTCCCGTCCGGAGACTTCCCAGGGCCCGCGGGGAGGACCGGGCACCGGAGCTCCGGGGACCGCAGCGTTTCCGCAAACCCGAGGACCCAGGGCCCGGGGCGTCCGGGGGATCGGGTTCCACGCCCGGCAGCACCGGGCGTGGCTGGAGGTAGATACGTGGCCCCGCGGGCTGGCGATGCGGGGTGGGAGGGGGGACGCGGCGCGGGGGGACTCCGTCCAGCCGACGGCCACACCCCACTCCGGGACTAGGCCCTACCGGGCCGCTGCGTTACCGGGTTGCGACAGCGCGGGCGACATGTCTCCGGGAATCCGTCTCGGGGGCCGTGGACGTGGCGGTGAGGGTGAACTCTCCACAGGGGCTCGCGGCGCAACGCAGCCGGCTCCACGGCGCCGACCTCGCCGCTGGCACGCTCCGCAGCAGGGCGCGGCGCGCGCCGGCCCGGCCCTCAGCGGCGGAGTGCTGGAGCTGCGCGTGCCGTTAAGTCCGCCGGCGCTCGGTCTAGCCTCGGGTCAGAGGACCCTCCCTCCCAGGCCTATGATTGGGCCCTGAGAGTCCTTCGCAGGCCTATTGGTTGGAATACCAGCCAATCGCCTTATGCTTAGCCCAAGGTCCTCTGGGAGATGTAGTCCTCAGTGCAGTACCAAGTCTCCCTAGTGGCCCGAGCATCTCCGAGCCGGTTCCGGAAGTGCTGCCATGCGGGTATCAAGTCCGCCTTTCCTACGACTGTGTGCGGGGTCGCGAGCCCCGTACTCGGGAATGTAAACTCTACACCCGTTTTGCTGACAACGGGAGACCTAAGTCTCCATTCTGTAGTCAGGACGCGATGCTAGAGGTGGGTGGGCCAGGAGATGGAGAGCCCAGGTTCTCCACCAGAGTTCTCCAGCAGAGAATTGAACACACACACACATGCAAAGTGGCAAGGCAAGGCATCTAATAAGAGAGAAAGAAAATCCACCAGTAAGGGAAGGTGCGGAGCCGAGCTAGGCGACCCGAGAGCACGTGAAGTAGTGTGGTAGGAGTTCATGGCCACGATCGTGGGCTGTGCCTGGGGGCATGAGGCCCAAGGCCTGGTGAATGGGAGGAAGAGGTCTGCGCATGTGCGAGGTTGCCATCCTCTAGTTAGCCTATGTATGAGAGGCAACGTGTGCTTGAAGCCAGGAGTAGGGGTTTGTTGCATATGGTTCTATTTCACAGGTGCCTCGGCCTGGGTAGAGCTGGCCCCAGACTTCTGCTGCTAAAGAGAAGTCCTGACCACTAGCCAAGTAACCCCCAAGGATCAGTGTTCATGGGCTATCAGAAAGGAAATGGAGCTCTGGGTGTCCGCTAGTGTGGGGCTATGATTCTTAGCTTTGGTTTCATCATTCTTTCCCTATAGCTAACCCACTTCACTAGAGGGTCATTACTCTTTCCTGGATTATGATAGGATGTGTGTGTGTGTGTGTGTGTGTGTGTGTGTGTGTGTGGGCGCGCGCGTGCGCACACACTTGCACTGGGACTTGAATTCAGAGCCCTTCAGTTCTTTGGGTGTCCATTTTGTCAGGTGTGAGAAGGTAAGTCAGACCTGAAACAAAATACTGCTACCTCTGGAGTTTGTCAGAGTGATGACCCGCTTTTCCAAGAAGCTTCCCGACTTTGCCACAAAGGTGAACTCTGCTACTCGCACCCCTCAAATTCTGTTATAATCTCAAGATTTATATCTTCTTCCCAGAATCCCACGTCAGCTACCATTGTGACCACTCACATTGACTACACCAAATGAGCTGAATTTCCAGTCTAAGGATGATACTAGCCCTCATAGAAAATAATGGATACAATTTGCAGTCCTTTTATTATAATTATTAGCCCTGGGAGGCCTCCCTCTCCTTTTGCTTTCTGCACAGTGAGAATTGCCATTTCTCAGGGAGACACCAGACCCCTGTTGGCTCAATTTGTGCCACCTGCTCCACAGGCCCTGTCAAAAGATAGTTTTGACTCAGCCAATCTGACCAACCCCTGAAAGTAGACATGGTAAAAACTGAATGCAAACTTAGATTTTTTGCTAATTCTATAGTGCTAGCTGTGAATTTAGCTCTTAAAAATCTCACATATGATCTCTTACATAACCTTCACTCCATACCACGGGGTTGGCCTAAGCCCTCCATGGCTTGAAACTGAGGCTTAAAGATATTAACAAACCAATCCCTGGTGGCTTACACCTGTAATCCTAGCTCTTCAAGAGGACGAGGTCTGAGGATTTCAGTTCAAAGCCAGCTTGAGTTTTGAGAAAGTCCATGAGACTCTTATCTCCAATTAACCAACAAAAAGCTAGTACCAGCCTTGAGTGAAGAAGTTAAGAGAGAGTGTCCAGGCCCTGAGTTCAAGCTCTGTTACTGAAACAATATAAAAGAAAATTACAGAGGACAAAATGAGAAGGGCTCCTACAGCCTGGGTCCACTGAGGGCATTCCAGCAGCTGGATTTCAGTGCCCACTGGCTATGGAGGCAAACATCTGTTTCCAAATACTCAACATAGCATTGCTAAGAGGAGAGAGGGGGGCAGGTGGCATGGTTTAAGTGGAAGGATTTGTTTTCTAATTGTTTGAGACCTTCTGAATATAGTAACCTTTCCTTCAGTCTACTGGATCTGTTCGAGGTTATTAGAATCCCCAAGGAGCCTGAAAATTTACAGATACCCAGATCTTAACCCAGACCTTCACAACTTGAAACCCAGAGGTTAGGGCTGAGTTGGCATGTTATTAAATCACATATATCTACTGGGAATTCTGAAGTTTCCTGCCAGGTAAACCGATCTTCCTACTTTGTTTATATCACTCACCTCTAATTAGGTCAACGACACAAATGCCCACAGCAAATTCACCCACATCTGTCTGTCTGTCTTGTTTAAGGGACACACATACTACACCAAATGAGAGTTTTTAAAATACAATGTAAATGTTTAATTGAACAAGTTTATATGGAGTCAATCAAAGCATCTGGTTGTTTGAAATTTAAAAAAACATTTTTCTTTTGCAAATTTAAATTGATAATTTAGCCTCAGAAACAAAAGTAAATCCTAGATTCAGAGTATGAACATGTTTATTGTTTTCCAGAGTTTCTTGTTTTTTTAATCGGCGAATAGTATGGCTCCATTCTCTTGATGAATGTTGTTAAGCAGTTAAAATTTGGGGTATGTGAGTTATCCAAACCCACCCTAAAACAGAAGTCCCCCAAATAAACATCTTCAAATGAGAAATGACTCCTAGTTTCCCCCAGGGTTTATGGATGGAATATAGCACCTGCTTGAAACAAAAAAAATAAATCAACAGCTCATTACACACCACCCGAGAAGCGTCTGGTGTAAAGCTACCTACTGAATGAAATACATGAAGGTCAAATGCTCTGAACAGTCCAGGGTTGTATAAGCATCAGAGAATGAGGAACACGTTACATTTTTGGCTGTGCGGAAATGTAGAACAAGCAGAAAAAAAACCGGGCAAGTAACAGGCACACGGCTGCTTCTCTAGCAACACTTTTATTGCTGCTTGCAACTGTTTTTTGTTTCTCTTCCTGATCATTAAGGACACAGAGGATCCAGGATAAAGAGGCTTTCTATTTTCTTCACTACCTACGGTCAATGAGGTGGGGAAGGAGACAGACAGCACCCCAGGTGGAAAACTGAATCAATGTTGAACAGATCACGACTCCATGTCGGGCATGAGTGCCATCCTGGGTCACACTGCCGCCCATTCCAGCAGAAAATCCCTAACTACCACCACAGACTCTCCCACTTCCTCCTACCCAAAAGAAACCACCCAAAAGCTCTGGGCAGGTCATGCAGTAAAGAACTTACCTGCACTGACACTGAATTCGCCCCTTCTTAACTACAGCTTCCCCTGGACAGCACCTAGAGCTCAAAGCCTAAGTGAGTCCTGCTCCAAGTTCCAGGAGTACAGGAGTCTCCTGCTATGAACCCCTTCATAAAAACGTGCTCATTTAAAAACCTAGGGCTTACATACAGCCATCTCTCAAGAACCTCTTATAAGCAAGCTCTAGAAAAAGCACAAGAATCTGCAATGGGCAGATAATCCTACAAAACTCACTTTCCTTTCAACTCCACCTTTGTGTTTGGCATGAGATGTATGCTTCCTCAAGTCCCTTCCCTGGGGTATAGGTAAGGCATCAAAACTTACTAATCAGACAGCCCATTCCTAAATAAAAAAGGGCTGACTGTACGCTCTATTAAAAAATGAATTTTGCTTTTCAGACAGGCTCTCACTACACAGCCCAAATTGGCCTCAAACTCATCAAAAATGTTAATTACTAAAATCCAGACACAGTGGTATACATCTGTAATAGCAACTCTCGAGAAACTGAGGCAGGAGGATCATGAATTGGAGGCAAGTCTGGGCTAGGGGGAGATAGCTTGCCTTAAATGTTTTGTACTCACTAAAGATCTTTTGATTGTTCTGTTTCTTTTCCTGGCAGGTCCACCTCTTAATGTTTAAGTCCACGAAGAGACACAGTGATATTTATATATGAATCAAGTTAATCTTTGGATAACCAAGAAAATAAAGCACTAGAATCCCAAATATTTCTCCTAGGCAAAAGCACACATACATATTATATAGGAAGACTATTTCATTAAAAAAAAAAAAAATCAAACCTTAAGCTGTGATTCTAGTCACTCCTATGAATCTTGGGTGTTTGCGATCTTTCACATTTTCCACTTTTCTTCTGTTCTTAAATCTTCCTAATTTCATAGTATTCAAGTAATTTGCTCTGTTTACCCAAAGAAATGAACCAATCTAATATTTCATTCCATTTAGCTGAAAAAAAATCAGAAATGAAGACTGCATCTGTTTATCAAGCACACCACGTCAGACACCAGGGGAACTGTGTTTAGGTCATGTGACTGCTCTGACAAAAATAAAAAAACTAAAATAATGAGCTGCTACAGAATCTTTTTCCTCTCTGAACTCAGCAAAGCTTGGCAACATTTCCAGAAACCAACATGACTTCAGCTTTTATTGGTTGGGACAGGACAAGGATTACAGATCACTCTCCCCATACAGCGCAGAGGAGAAGGCCGTGTAATCCAGGGCCCCAGGCACGCTGCCTGGGCCAGAGTAGGCTGGCATCCTCTTAATGCAGTACTGGGCCTGGTCGGGAGGCAGCTCTCGACGCAGCTCATCCGCCAGGATATAAGGCTGGAAAATACACACACACACGGGCAAGGTCAGTCTCAAAAAACACTGCAACACCAACGGTTTCATGCTTATGCCTCTGCTGCACTTGCTTAGCTTATAAACAGGTCTAAGGGCAGGGAAGGCGTTCCCTGGGCACAGGTGGTGCTCCACATGTGGGTCAGGAGGAAATTTAACATGCTTCACGAAGACAAGTGGAGAATTATCATTATGGGGTTGCTAAGCCTCATGATCTAAAATCACACAAACAGTTGGTTTAGGTCATACACTTATAGGGCACAGGGCTACTTCATTCACCATAACTGGTATATATATATTGAAATCTGTATGTTTCATATGCTTTTAGACAATAAAGACCTTTCTTTCCCTACCTAGTTTATTTAAATAAATAAGACTGCATTCAAGGATAGAGATTTTTTATAAACACACATAAAAGCCTAGGGCTAGGGATGGCTCAAGTGGTAGAGTATCTAACAAGCATGAGACCTTGGGTTCAAATCCAAGTACAGAAAAAATAATAAAGCTAAATATGATCAAAATAGGTTCCATGCTTGCATGAAAATGTCACAATATAGCCCATTATTCTGTACAATGATTATATAGTAGTAAACATTTCTAAAAGGAACTAAAAACAGAAACATCCAATGAGAAATAAGATCATGCTGGTAAGTACAGATTAATATAAATCATAGTAAGTCACAAATAACTTTCATTTGTAGCAAGAATCTTGTTTTGCAAGGCTGGATAGGCTGTGGTTTTATTACCTCTTCAATCAGTGGCATGCCCTCTTTCCAGTTCACTCCATAAGAGATTCATTTGAAAGCAAACTCATTACTTTTAAGTTAGTTGATCCTACTGACTTTTATTGTAACAAGTATGGATGATTTAGCATTGTAACTTCCATGGTCCTGTGCTACACTCTGTCAGCCTGAATAAGGGTTTAGTTAAAGCAATCCTTTCCTAAAGTAGACATATGTGTCCTAGGATGTTTTATTGTTTGTGAGGAGAGAGATATTTTAAAATTCTGAACATATGGTTCTGTTCCTATTTAACTTCCAGGCTGGACATAAATGGAAGTCCTAATAACCAAACAGCTACATGTAACTTTGTCCCAGTGGCTGGACACAGTCAGGGTCACTGACCTGCAGGGGAAGGTTTTCGATTATGTACAGGTTCTTGTCTCTGAGCCACATCTACCAACACACAATGTAAAATGGGATTGAACCAGTAAAACACACTCACACCCCAATCTCCTACAAGATAAACACTATTGATCACTTCTTACCATGCGGCCTGAGCACAAGTATCAAGACAGAACATCTGCTCTACCTGAGACACACCACAGTGTTGCTTCCAATTTCAGGGCTGATGTAGGAGCTACAATGCTGTGGGACTGGCTGGCAGGGGGAGGGGGTTCTAGAGTTTGAACGCAGAATATGGGGCCTTGTGCCTGCTAGGCAGGAACTTTGCCACTTAAGCCATGTTCCCAATACTTTTTGCTTTAGTAATTTTTCAGGTAGGGTCTCCTGTTTTTGCCCAGAGCTAATTTCAGATCCTGATCTTCCTATCTCTGCCTCCCAAGGAGCTGGGATTATAAGCACGGTCCACCTTGTCCAGCTAAGAGTGTTGTTTTTTTTACTGGTAATCTGGGTTTTTTGCTTGCTTTGTGTTTGGAGGGAGGCGGTTGCTGAAATGAAGGAGTGGGCTACAGCTAAAGGAAATGAGTCGTGTCAATGCTGACCTTATCAGAAGCCAGGATTCGGAAGGAGGCGATGACCTGCTCGGCGGTGTCTGTGTCCGCAGTCTCTCTAGTCATGAAGTCAATGAAGGATTGGAAGGTGACCGTCCCTTGTCCGTTGGGGTCAACCAGGGTCATGATGCGGGCAAATTCAGCTTCACCCTGAGGCAAAGTAGCATAGAGATATTGAGTTCCTTTGGGTTTGAAAATTTTAGTCCTAGAATGGGTGATTTAGGCTCAATGTAATTAAAACAACAACAACAACAAAAATGTTGAAGTTGCTATAGCAACCTTCATCTCTGGGACTCACAGTGCCTTCCTGAGTCCCGAACGTAATAATGGTAGCTTCTCTCTGGCTGCCCATATGAAGTAACACTGCTAAGCAGTAAGGCAGTCTGGAGGTGGTACACGTGATTGTCCTGTAACCCCACACACAGGACATCCCAGGGCATGCTCGTGATAGATAATAAAGTGTCCCCAGCCACTACCGTACCCCACAGGAAATATAATTTCTTCTTAGAAAATTTATTACTAAAAAATGTTTGCATTCTAAAATGTTACAGGATAAAAGGACCTTAAAAACTCAAAACAGCTGCTGGGCAAGCACCTGTGGCTTACGCCTGTAATTCTAGTTATTCAAGAGCCTGAGATCTGAGGATTGCAGTTCAAAGCCAACCAAGGCAAGTCTGTGAGATGCTTATCTCCAAGTAACCACTAAAAAGCTGAGAGTGGAAATGTGGCTCAAGTGGTAGCCTTGAGCACAAAAGCTCAGGAACAGCACTTAGGCCTGAGTTCAAGCCCCAGGACTGGCACATACATATATACATAAATAAATAAAATAAGATGCCAAATGCCACTCAAATGTATATGTTAAAATGGGTGAAATGTGGTATGTGAATCATAGCAATACAGCTGATTCCTTATTAGAAGAACTATTTGACCAATCCCCAAATAAAAATGTATCTTTGGACCCTTGAGAATTATTCTTATATAGTAAAAGACAAATAATATCGCATATAATGTACAGAAACAAGTCTTTCATTGAAGCTTGTCCTTTCCTGAACATCTCAGCTCAGTGAGATGTCACAGCTTAGTTACAACTTCTACTTGCTCTCACCAGATCGTAACCCATGGAGATGAGGCAGGCTCTGAAGTCCTCGTGGTCCATCAGGCCGTTCTTCCTCTATTGCAAATGCAAAGAGCAGAGAGAAGGCGGTTAGGGGCCAGCCAGGCTGCTCCACTTGATGAAATGGGCAAAGTCTGCTTTGGAAGAAGAGCCATTCTGAGCCACCCCAAGATCCAAGAGGTGGACAGCCATAGCTGGACAGAGCCACCAGCACCACAATGTTTATAAAGTCATTTCCTTAACAGGAAAAAGGGGTTGGGGCTCTGAAGACTAGACAGAAATGAAAGAAGACCCACATTTGAGAAGGTAACAAGCCTTACACTGGTGGTCCGCACCTGTAATCCTAGCTACTACGGAAGCTGAGATCTGAGGATTGTAATTCAAAGCCAGTGGGGGCAGGACAGTCCTTGAGTTAGCTCCAGTTAATCACCAAAAAAGCCTGGAATGGAGGTGTGTAAAAGTTCAGGGACAGCTCCCAGGCCCTGAGTTCAAGCACTAGTACTGGCAGTTAAAAAATAAAATAAAATTTAAAAAGAGGTTGGCAAAAGCAGGGGCTCACTACTGCCACCTACCTGTAATAGAACATACCGCAAATATCTGGAGAACAAAGCTCTCCTGGGCCTTATCTAGTCATCAGATGGCAAATTCTAAACTAATTTAAAGAGCTAAACTAGACTAAATTCTAAACTACTTTTAAAGAAGTAAACTCAAGAACTATGCTGCAGCCCCTCTCCGAGCCTCTGGCCAGGGTACAGCGTCCTCCCCATGTGTAGCAAGCTCAGCTGCTCCCAAAAATCTACTGTCTTTAGAGAGGAAAAAATAAAAGAGCAGATGAGGTCAGAAAATCAAGCTCCACAAAACCTGAGAGCAACACCCAGTTCTGCCTGCAATGGGAAGCTACAACTGTGCTGATCACAAGAAAGAGATGGGGGAAGAAGGGAGAGAAATGAAGAGTAGACTGCCAAGAAGGGTAGTTCACACCTATACTCTCATCTACCTGGGAGGGGAAAGCAAGAAAATCTCATTTTCCAGGTCAACCCAGGCAAAAAGGTATCAAGGACCTATCTCAAAAAACCAAAATGCTAGTAACAAAAGAACTGGGAGCACGGGAGAGCATTTGCCTGGAATATACCAGGATCTGACTCCTCTGTAGAAAGGAGGCTAACTTTCCATCAGGGATTCACTCTGAACAGGTACTGGAAAAGTCCACCAGAGTCCCGTCCTAACGTATTTAGAGAGTGACACAAATGGAACAAACAGGTTTGGTTAGGGTGCTTTGGCTGTCTACAGAGCGGCCTTTCAAGCAAGGAGAGCACAGTACCCTGTCGAAGTGGTTGAAGGAGGCTCTGAACTCGTTCATCTGCTCCTGGGTGATGCCCTTGGCGTCCCTGGTCAGGATCTGTGTCTCCACCTCGTTGATGGTTCTGGCGATGGTGGTGAGGAGTAGCTCCCACCCCACACGGATGTGCTGGAGGAAGAAGAGCGGTGATCAGCCTGGGGTCTCTCATGGTCACAAGGGGAGATCCACCCAAATGAGGGGAGCAGGCTCACTCAGATTTGCCTGCCGGGCTCTGGTGGCTCACACTGGTAACCCTAGCTACTCAGGTAGCTGAGATCTGAAGACTCTCAATTCAAAGCCAGCCCAGGCTGGGAAGTCTGTGAGACTTTCCTGGGCTAGACTGATGGAATAGAGACAGTCCAGTTTCTGATCCACTCTCCAAAGAGGTGTTATAAATTCCCTATGGCCCTAGTAACGATGCCATTGGTGGTAACTATTACCTGGTGCTTGATACAGTTTACACTGCTTTTCCAAAGACAGCAAAGAAAAGGCTTTAAAGCCCCTCGTGTGCACACTGGTAGAACTTAGAAGGAACAAGGAGACGTGTGTGTGTGTGTGTGTGTGTGTGTGTGTGTGTATGTGTGTATATGCAGGAAATGCCCTGAGGCAGTAAGGGTGACATGGCTCCAGTCAGAGCAAGCACAGCCAGCCTGTGTGTGGTACCTCCATGGTGTAGTTGGTGTGCTTATTGTCGAAGACCAGGGCCTCCTGGATAAGCTGGTGGTCTCCCTCCAGCTTGTCGATGTTGTTCTTGTAGTTAATGATGTTGTGCTCATACTGCTTCAGCTGGTTCATCTGGTCCTCCAGCGCCCCGGTGATCTGGATGGAGCTCCTGGCGATCTCCTGGGGAGGAAAGGACAGAGGGCTTGGCTCTGACTCTATGCCAGAGGCCACACCCACAGTAGAGGCCACGCCCATACCAGACATAGCCACCATCATGGATATTCCCAGACAGTGGCAATGGGCAGGATCTCAGGCTGAACATCGTCTACCTAGTCTGTCTAGGGAATGGAATAAAAGCCAATCAAGCTGGGTGCTGGTGCCTCCCAGCCTGTAATCCTAGCTACTCAGAAGGCTGAGGTAGGAGGATCACAGTTCAAAGACAGCCAGGTCAGGAAAGTCTGTGAGACTCTTCTGCCCAATAAACCACAAAAGTCTAGAAAGTGGAGCTGTGGCTCAAGTGGTAGAGCTCTAGTCTTGAGCCCAAAACAAAAAAAGCCAATCAAGACCCAAAGCAGAGAAAAATGTCCTGCCTGCTTTCTTGAGGGGCAGAAATCACCCTCACATCCCAGCTGCCCTGCTCCCTGTGTATGGGGAGGCCAGGGCCAGGATGGCAGAACCGAACTGGCAGAGAGACATGAACAGGACGGCTGCACCTCCCCTGCTGTGAGGGCTCACTCCTAATTTTTCGTGTTCTCCCCTTAAGGAAAAAGTGAGTATTTTTTATTATCACAAGGGAGACGGCAAGAGAAATATCCCCTGGCTGATGTCAGTGCTAAAGAGAACCCAGACCTCACAGCCATTCCCAGGGCTGCTCTGTTAAGAACGTTCTAGAAATGTGTAGCACATGTGAAGTCTTTGCCAATCCTCAGGGATGAATAGCTTAAAGTCCAGCTCCCGCAGAGGCCAAAACATTGACCAAGAGCCTTGTCGTTGCTTATGACAATGACAAAAACCCTCCTTGCCCCGCCGTGGCGTGCAAAGCACCAGCTTTAAAATCCCTGGAACTCCAGGGCGGTGACCCCTACCTCCATCTTGTTCTGGATCCAAGGCCCAATGGCGTTGGCCTGGGCAGCGAACTGGCGCCGCAGGCGCTCGTTGGCATGCTGGCGAGCTAGCTCCTCCTGCAGGGACTGGTCTCGGACTGGCACCAGCTGCTTCACCTGGGCCCAAGGATGACAGGGGTGAGGGGCCAGCCTTGGGGTGACAGGCCGGGGGTGGAGGCTGGGGTGGGATTCCCATTCTAAAGACTAGCTCTGACTGCCTCCTGGTGCCCCCAGGGCCCAGCTGAGGGGAGGGCACACATTGGGGACTCAGGACATTGGCCGTTCTCCCTCCACTGGGAAGTCTTGCCCTGTGGTCCCAGCCCCCCACCCCTCCACAGCCAGTGCAGATCTGTGAACTTAGGTGACTTGGAGCTAGCATCAGACCACACACGCAGGAGGTCCAGTGGCTCCTGCCCCCGCCAGCAGGCCACAGAGCGTGACACTACCGCCAGCCCCTGCGTTCCTTGCTCTGTCCCAATGGCTCGGAGTGTTTTAGTAAGGATGCTCCAATTCAAGCATACTATCAGATGGGGTCCATCGTGCCCTGGCACTTCGCCCTGCCCAGCGCTGGATGAAGAAGGCAAGGCACCTGGGAATCACATTTTCATTCCCATCAGTGCCTTACATTTTAATGCTTTGTCTCAATTCTCTTTGAACTGATGGGGAAAAACATAAAAGGCTTTGAAAATCTTGTTTGTGTCATAAGTGAACCGCTCATGAAAACATTTTATTTTGAGTGTTCCTTTTGCAAAATTCCCAGTCAGCACCAGCGAAAACTCCTTTAATCCTAGCTGCTCAGGAGGCTAAGATCTGGAGGATCACAGTTCAAAGTCCAAAGGACTCCAGCAAAAAGCAGAACTGAAGGCCCACGCCCCGAAAGTAAGCTGAGCAAGTGTGTGCAGCTTGAGTTCAAACCCCAATACCACCAAGTGATGCCTCCCCGTTCTGCCAGAGCTGGAACTGCTTAGTCCAACACCTTTCCCTTTTGACCTCCACTGAAGGGAGGTCAAAAAACCAGAGCCAACTTCAGAGCTCGCATTCAACACCTATCCACCAGCGGCATTATAACGGAAACCACAAACTTAAACTTCTCTTAATGAGACAAAGGGCTCAAATAATTCACTTTCAATGTAGTTAAGTTTGTGGGCAGTTTCCCCAAATTGAAACTGTTCCTCAGATACAGTCTTATAAGCAATTTCCTGCATTTAAGGCACACAGACAGTTCAGCTCACACCTGTAATTCCAGCTATTCAAGAGGCTGAGATCTGAGGATCAAGGTTCAAAACCAGCCTAGGCAGGAAAGTCCATGAGACTCTTCTCTCCAATAAACGACTAGAAAACCGGAAGTGGTGCTGTGGCTCTGAAGAACCCAGGGAAAGTGCCCAGGCCCAGAGTTCAAGCTCCACAACTGACAAAAAAAAAAAAAAAAAGACTCCTCCCTCTGCTATCACTAGGGTAACCTGCACTGATTTCTAAGTTTCCTTAAGGAAAAGAATGCCTAGTGTCTTTGCCCAAAACCCAAGAGGCTGCCAAATGGAGTTCATGGATTGAACATCCTTCTCCGGGAAGACTTGGAGTGAGGAAAATCCCTCAGGAAGCCAAACCAGGCAGGAACCCCAAGGCCCAGGGAGGGACCTCCTCTTCCCTAAGCCCCCCACCCAGGATGCTGCCTGCCCTCCCCGCACCCACCCACATACTGCCTGCCCTTCCCACACCACTACCCCCCACCCCCCACCCTCAGATGCTGCCTGCCTTCCCCCTCCCCCTCCCCCCGCCACCCACCTTCTCCCACTTGTTGCGGAGCTCGTCCATGGTGACGGTGCTGTACGGGTTGCTGGAGCTGATCCTGATGCTGTAGCTCTGAATGACCTTCTCCACCTCATTCTGTATGGCCATGATGGACTGCCGCTCGCCATCCGCCTCGGGCAGCGTGGCCTTGAACTGCTCATGGGCAGTGATGAGACTCTGCGCCAAGAACATGCAGAGAAACCTGAGGCGCGTGAGCATGAGAGTCACGGGCGCTGAGGGCCCCTGCACCACACACCACACTGCGCATTGCACGCCACACAGAGGAGTCTAATCGCAGGCAGGCATGAAGGCCCGGGGGGGGGGGGGGGGGGGAGGGGGGAGGTAAGTCAGGCAACTTCTGATGGTTCTAGGAAAAGCTCTCTGGTGCCTGGAACTCAAGTTCCTTGATGGAGTGAAGAAACCACAAGAACCATGATGTGAGGACCACCATACAGAGTTGAACAAACACCGTGCATGTCTGCCTTATTGCATCCAGCGGTGGCTGCGGTGAGGGTCACTTTCTACTGATTATCTGGATATTAGCTGCTCTCTGTCTGTCTCTCTGTCTCTCTGTCTGTCTCTCTCTGTCTCTCCTCCCCTCTCTCTCTCTCTGTCTCTGTCTCTCTACTGTGTAGCTGAGGCCAGCCTATAGTTCCTATGTTGTGCACTGGTGCCTTGAACTTGGGATCCTTTTGTCTCCACTTCCTGAGTACCAGTCATGGGGCCTGAACTCGGCCTGAGCGCTGTCCCTGAGCTTTTTCACTCAAGGCTAGTGCTCTACCACTTTGAGCCACAGATCCACTTCCAGCTTTTTGGTGGTTAATTGGAGACAAGAATTTTATAGACTTTCCTGCCTGGGGTGGCTTTGAACCGTGATCCTCACATCTCAGCCTCCTGAGTAGCAAGGATTACAGGCATGACACACAGGCACCCACCTTAATAAACATATTTTTAAGCTAAGGTTCAAAGGCTAATTTTAACTTTCTTGTTGCACATTCCTAAGTGAACATACATATATGTGTATGTACACATGTATGTGTATATATGTACACATGAGCATCTGTGTACATGTATGTGAGCATGCATTTGTACACGTGTTTCTGCATGTGTACACATGTGTGTATGCATATGCATGTGTACACAAGTATGGGGTAGGTTGAATGTGCACATGTGTGCACGAATGTGTACACATGTGGTTTGTGTATACACACATGTGTATATTGCATGCATGTGTATATGTAGTGTGTTCGTGTGTACACGCATGTGTGTATATGTATACCTGTGTATATGTGTACACACCTGTATGTTCTCAAAGCAAAAAAAACGAAAGAAAGGCGGCAGAGGCAGAGCTCGATGGCACCTGCAGGGGCCTGAGAGGCCCAGTCCAGTACCTGGATCTCCTCGATGCTGTGGACAATGAACATGTCCTGCAGGTCCTCCATCGCGCCCTCCATCCAATTGTTGAAGGGAGCCGCTCTCTTAGCAAACTCCAGGTGCAGCTGATCGATGGTTTCTAGCAATTTCTCCGTTCTCTAAAGGCAAATTAAATGGAAACAAGGGTCATCATAGAAGAAACACATCAAGAACCCCTCCAGTGTGTAGACAACTGTAAATAAATATGCATCCCAGAACAATGTAAGGTATTGGCCCACATTTAGCCACCCAGGACTAGGAAAGAATAACGCATGCTCTACTCAATGCCTGCAGCAGCCTGAGGGACCTTCAGCACCAAAGATGCAGCCTCCATCTCCATGGCGCCCAAAGTCCTCTACTACATGCTAGCTTTTAGGAAAAGATTTTTTAAAGTAAAGGACTTGGTTTCCCTCTATGCCCAGTACTGAAGTTCCAGTCATCCTCTCTGTCCCCTAAGTCAACTGAACACCCTCTTGAGGACTTTTGGGAACAAATGGGTTTATACCATAATCCTCATGATGGGTTTCAAATGCCAACCTCCCATGGCTGGTGGGCTATCTCTTCTAGGGTTCCATTCATTAGATAATTGTTTAGTTTTAGAGAGATAGATAATTAAAACCAGTGACTGCATTGAAGAGTCTCTATTTAGATACATCAACAAGTCACTTCAAGGTTTTACAAAAATTCCAGTCAGGGGCTGGTGGCTCATGCCTGTAATCCTAGCTACTCAGAAGGCTGAGATCTGAGGATGGCGGTTCTAAGCTAGCTCTAGCAGAGCAGCCCATTTGACTCTTATCGCTGATTAATCAGCAAAAAAAACACAAGTGGAGGTGTGGCTCAAATGCTAGAGTGCCAGCCTTGAGAGAAAAAGCCAAGTGAAAAGCACAAAGGCCCTGAGTTCAAGCCCTTTGTATTAGCAAGAAATATAACATCAACGAGTTAATAAATGCTTAAAAAGCCTTGCCTCCAAGGCCTCCCTCCGCTTCTGCGTGAGCGTCCCCAGCCTGTCCCACTGGTCGCAAATCTTCTGGCAGCGGTCATTGACGTTCACGGCATCATGGTAATCCAGCTCACTGTGAAAAGCAACAACCAAGATGAGCCTTCCCAGGCTGTGGGGGTGTGGACAGCCATGCCACGAGGCTTCTAGAAAGGAACGATACAGGGGTGGGGGGGGGGGAGGGAGGAGGGCGGGCAGGTTCCTCCAGGGGCTTGGCAGCCCCACCATTATGCACAGGGTCCCAGGATCATAAGGAGCATTACCCAACCCCAGGCTGGCCGAGGGGTTTCTACCCAGTCCCGCCCCCAGCTAGCTCTCTTCTCTGCCAGGCACCCTGAAAGCGAGATTCTTTAATAGATAATTAACTTACTTTATTGCTATGATACAGGTGATGCGCAGAGGAGTACAATGACGTGAGTCAGGTCATGAGTGTGTTTCCTTTTGTACAGCATCTTCTGTCCCCTCCCTCTCTCCCAGTCCCTCTCTCCTGTCTCTACCCACGGGTTGTAGAGTTCACGTTCAGCCATGCCCAGAGAGCTCCTGCGCTCGTCACCCCTTTTCCCTCCAGTTCTGTGCCCTCTCCTCCCCACCTCCTGAAGACAGACACTTGAAGACACCATACATAAAGAAGACAGAATCATCCAAAAATAAATATAAAAGAAAAAGAAAGAAAAAAGAGGTCTCTTGTTTGTATATTTTGGAGTTCATTTATATATATGTCTATAGCTATAGATATAATTTTATACAAATGTGAAAAGGCACACAGGCATTGTGCCTTTGTGTGCTCTCACTGTGAGTATCTAGAATCCTATACAATTTACCACACACCAGTACAGTTCGAATCTAATTTCCTCATGTCAGAGAGAATAAGCGCTGTGAAAGCGAGATTGCTAAATGGAAACTAAATGAAGGCAGCTCTTCGAGCCGAGGCTGCGGCCATAGGGCCTCAACTTCCTCAGGCATCATGAGAGGTGTGAGCTTGTGCACACGGTGACCTTGGCATCTCTCGAAGGGCACACAAGCTCCCCAGGGAGCGGCACCCACCCAGGAAGCCCCAGGACCTCACCGAGAACGCAGCTCTCCCACCAGGGGACAGCGAGGCTCTGCCTTGTCTTATGCCACTTGTGTGACAGAAACAACACAATGCAACTAGGCACAGTGGCCTGCGCCTGTCATCCTAGCCAACTCTGGAGCTGGAGAAGATCACAGCTCAATGCCAGCCAGGCATGAAAACTTGAGAGATCCCATCTAAATCAATAAAAGCTGGGTGCAGTGTTACCTGCCCTGTCTTTCCAACTACGTGGTCAGTGTATATAGGAAGATTGCTATACAGGCCTTCCACAACAAAAATCAAGGCCTCATCTCACAGATAATGAAAGAATAAAAAGCATGACTCAAATGGTAGAGTACCTGCCCTGCAAGTATAGGGCCCTGAGTCAAACCCCTGTAACACCATTGTTAAATGCTTTTTTTTTCTTCATATCAAACTTATTATGAAAGCAATGCCTGACTAGAAGATTACCTAGTATCTCAGGGACAAGATGTGTGGATCTTAAGCTGGGCACCACTGGCTCACACCTGTAATCCTAGCTATTCAGGAGACTAAGATCCAGAGGATCAGGGTTCAAAGGCCAGCAGGGGGCAGAAAAGTCCAAGAAACTCCACCTCCAAAATAACTAGCCCAAAAAAAGCCAGGAGTGGCTTAAGTGGTAGAGCATCAACCCATCAACAATGTCAGGCAAGCATGGGGACCCTACGTTCAAGCCCCGATATTTACAAGAAGAATGACAAAAAGTTTAAATCCTGCACAAAAACCCAATCGCTCTTTCTACTGAGAAGAAAGCAAGAACCATGGAGATGTACAGGCGTTTTCTGGAGAGTTCTTTTTTTTTCTTTTCTTTTTCTTTTTTGTTGGTTGTGGGGCTTGAACTCTGGGCCTGAGCTCTGTCCCTCAGCTCTTCAGCTCAAGGTGAGTGCTCTACCACTTGAACTACAACACCACTTCCAGCTTCCTGGTCGTTTATTGGAGATAAGAGTTTCACGGACTTTCCTGCCCGGGCTGGCTTTGAACCTCGATCCTCAGATCTCAGCCTCCTGAGTAACTAGGATTACAGGCATGAGCCACTGGCGCCCAGCAGGAGAGTTCTTTAAAAAGCAGCCTGGAAGAGCCAGCTCTAGGGAAGTTCTACCCTCTGACCAACCATTCATTCCTCTGAGGCTTAAGTTTCTCTCTTGTGTCAACGCTCAGAAAAGCTGGCACTGTCCCTGTGTCCCTTCCCCTGGAATAATATGATGTGATACTTGCTGGCTGACATTTTGTGTTACCAAACAGAGGAGATGCAGGGTTGCTATGTGCACAGACTATGTGCTCTGCCGTGTTCTTCTAGAACATTCTGATAGCACCTGAGATGCCTGCCACCTCATTAAAGTCTGTCAGGTGCTCAGGAGCAATTGCCACTGTCGAGGATGACGAAGACGTTTAGGCCTATTTGTTATCAGCATACCACCCAAGCCGAGCTCTGCACAGCCCACCCTCAGTCACAGTCACGCCCCAGCACCCGCCCATACTTGAGCTCCTGGGCAATGGCGGCAATCTGCTCCACGCGGTCCTGATGGGCTGCCAGGTCACTCTCAAAGGCTTCGTGCTTCCGCAGTAGCGCCCGCACCTCGGTCAGCGACGCTGACTCGTAGTCCTTCTGCAGCAAGATCTGCTCTTTGCCTGCAAAGAGGGAGCATGAACCCCTCTGGGCCGCCCGTCATGCCGCCCTGCCACCCAGCCACCCAGCAGTACCCCTCGCCAGCCACGCCCTCAGGGAGCAAGGTGGGCCGAGAACCCCAAGACTGAAGGAGCAGGTCGGTGTGGGATTCGGGCTATGGTCATCCTCAATCAACATCCAGCCCACCTAGGGGCGCAGGAAGCATGCATGGGCATCTTACAGCATGCCAAGGAATACCTATCTGCTCTTCTAGCGTGACGCTTAGTTAAGTTAGAAATCAACAGTTCCCATGAGCCACTGGGATAGATGAATAAAGCCCTTGTGCTCAGCCAGTTGTGGTGGTACATGTCTGTAATCCCAGCACTCAGGAGGCAGAAGCAGGAAGATCATGAGTTCAAGGACAGCCTAGGCTACATAGTGGGACCCTGTCTCATAAAAACAAAATGAAAGTTTCTCAGGAGACTGAGATCTGAGGATTGAAGTTTGAACCAGCCCAGGGAAGGAAAATCTATGAGACTCATCTCCAATTAACCAGCAAAAAAGCCAGAAGTGGCGACGTAGCTCAAGTGGTAGAGTGCTAGCCTTGAGCAAAAAAAAAAAACTCAAAGAGAGTGCCCAGGCCCTGAGTTCAAGCCCAGGACCAACATACACATAGAAAGAAAGAATGAGAGAGAGAAAGAAAGAGGGAAAGAGAAAAAAGAGGGAAAGAGAGAAAGAAAGGAAAAAAGAGAGGAAGGGAGGGAAAGGAAAGGGAAACGAAAGACAAAGAAAGAAGAAAGGGAGAGGGGGAGAAAGAGAGAGGAGGGAGAGGGAGGGTGGGAAAGGAAAGAAGGAAGGAAGGAAGGGAGGGAGACAGGGAGGAAGCAGGTATGCGGGCAGGCAATAATGACACTACACTGCTCTCTTCTGCGGGTTCTGCAGAACTCAGTTGTGCTTTCGGTAAGCCAGAAGCCAGGTGCAGACGCTCACCATAAGCCCAGGTCTCGTGCGTGGAGGCCTTCTGCCTGAACTTCTCGGCCAGGTGTTCCAAGCGCTCCAGCCTCCGAATCTCGTTGAGCAGCCACTCCTCATAGCCCTTCTCAGCCTGCTCCAGCCTCTGCCAGGCACCTGCGATGTCCTGGGGTGCCCAGACACAATACTTCCTTACACTGAGAATTCGCTCCTCTGTGAACCCCCAATATGGGGCTGAGTGACTTGTCTTGCTTCCTTCCTTTGCCTTCCCCCTCCCTCCATTAGCCACCTTGGTTTCCAAAAGTCTTATCACTGGGATCTCGTGAATCTGCTCTCTCAGCAGATGTGTACGAAGATGTACACAGTTTACATTTTCTACAAGAGCAGCCAGGCAAGCGGGGCGCTGGTGGTTCATGCCTGTAATCCTAGCTACTCAGGAGGTTGAGATCTGAGGATCACGGTTCAAAGCCAGCCCGGACAGGAAAGTCCATGAGATTCTTATCTCCAATAACCACTAGAAAACCGGAAGTGGCGCTGTGGCTCAAGCGGTAGAGCGCTCGCCTTGAGCTGAAGAGCACAAGGACAGTGCCCAAGCCCAGAGTTCAAACCCCACAACTGACCAAAAAAAAAAAAAAAAAGAACATCCAGGCATAGTGATGCATGCCTGTAATCCCAGCACTAGAGAGTCTGAGGAAAGATGATCTTGAGTTCAAGGTCAGCCTGGCTTGGATAGTGAGACCATGTCTCAAAAAACAAGACAAGCCAGGTGCCGGTGGCTCATACTTGTAATCCTAGCTGCTCAAAGGCTGAGAGCAGAAGATAAAGGTTCAAAGCCAGCCTGAACAGGAAAGTCTGTGAGACTTTTATCTCTAATAAATCACCAAAAAAAAAGCAGAGGGCAGAAGTGAAGCTGTGGCTCAAGTGGTAGAGCACTACCTTTGAGCAAAAACGCACAGAGACAGCATTCAGGCCCTGAGTTCCTGCCCCAGGATTAGCACAAAACAAAACCCTGAAGCCAGGCACTGGTGGCTCACACCTGTAATCCTTGCTATTCAGGGGGCTGAGATCTGAGGATTGCAGTTTGAAGTCAGCCCAGGCAGAAAGCCCCCAGGAGACTTTTATCTCCAATTAGATACTCAAAAAAACCACACATGGAGCTGTGGCACAAAGTGGTAGAGAGTGAAGCCTTGAGCAAAAGAGTTCAGGGACCAGTACCCAGGCCCTGAGTTTAAGCCCCAGGGCCAAAACAAAATAAAATAAACCTGCCCATTAGTTGCTGGACACCTGTGGCTCATGCCTATAATTCCAACAACTCAGGAGGCTGAGATCTGAGAATCAAAGTTTGGAGCCAGTCCTGGTAGATAAATCTGAGAGACTCTTGTCTCTAATTAGCCAGCAAAAAGTTGGACTGCTGGGCTGGGAAGGTGGCTCAGTGGTAGAGCGCTTGACTTGCATGCATGAGGCCCTGGGGTTCGATTCCTCAGCACCACATAAGCAAAAAAGAAAAAAGCTAGAAGTGGTGCTGTGGCTCAAGTGGTAGAGTGCTAGCCTTGAGCTGAAGAGCTGAGGGACAGCGCCCAGGCCCTGAGTTCAGGCCCCACGACCAGACCCCCCCCAAAAAAAGTTGGACTGCTGGCATGCCTCAAGTGGTAGAGCACCAGCTATGATGGAAGGGTTCAAGCCCTACTGCTGGCACACACACACACACAAAGAAATGAAAATAACTGATAATAGGGAGGAGAATATCAGTAATAAATCAGTTCCAAGACCAGCTTTCTTGGAGCTGGTCAAGGCCTCTCCACCCAGCAGGGGAAGGTGAGGCCCCTGGCCCGGCCCACTCACCGACACCATCTTGCCCTCGGAGGGCATGAAGGCCGGCCGGTTGCTGATGCGCAGCTTGGTCTGCAGCGTGTTGAAGTTGATCTCCAGCTGGCACTTCTCCTGCACCTTGGGTGGCTTGTGCTTGCGCCGGTAGTCCCGGAAGTCCTCCAGCTTCTTCTGCATGGCCTGCATCGTCTTCTCTGGCGTGCGGTTCTCCAGCCAGGGGATCGTGCGCCGAATCCACTCCAGAAGCTGTTCCCAAACACAGAGACACTGCTGACCACACCCGCTGCCCTCCTGGGGAAATGCTCAGGCAAATGCTCAGGCGCCTGACCACCTGGAATCGGGAAGCCTAGTGTTCCCCAAATTCCTGTGCCCCACCCCCCAATCTGGGAGGGGTGTGACTCTGCATGGTGGCATGCATGATATGGTCAGCATCCACCCAGAGACCCCCAGGGACTGCCCCAGCAACCCACACAAGGGGAGAGACTTCCGGTCAGCACGTGACGTCATGGCTAACAAAAAAAATGTGACAGCCACAAGAAACTTGGGGAGCAGACATCAGCAGACACATGTTGGAAGGAGCTTTCAAATAAAAACAAAAACAAAACAAAAAGTCCCAAAAAAACAAAATCAGAAGAAAAAAATCCAAACCTGCCAGAAAAATATTGTAATAAATTCACTTAAAGAACTAAATTTCACTTAATGGTTTTCTATTGGTGGTGGTGGGACTCAAACTCAGGGCCTGGGCACTGTCCCTAAGGCTCTTTGTGCTCAAGGCAAGCACTCTATCACTTTGAGCCACAGCACCACTTCCAGTTTTATTAGAGATAGGACTCTCACGGACTTTCCTGCCTGGGCCGGCTTTGAACCATGATCCTCAGATCTCAGCCTCCTGAATAGCTAGGATGACAGATATAAGCCACCAGTGCCCAGCCACTCAATGGTTTTTGTTTTTTTTTAATAAAAAAAGCTCATATCCAATGAGTTTATTCCCTATATAAAGGTACTATAAGTCTCAGACTGGCTCTGTACCCAAGCATAAGTTAAATCTAGCTTGTAAGTCATTCCATTAGATAGAAGAAGGTGTGGAAATTAACTCCTCAGAGCCCAGCTTTACCCTTTTCCTGCACAAAGATGCTGGCCCTGGAGATGACCTGCCAGAAGCCTCGTCTTCCCCTGTGCCTGCTGTACTAATAACATGACATCAGCCTAGGGTGCAAACCAGTTCCAGTGGTGTGGTGTCGGCCCTAGATTAGGGGTCTCTGGACACTGAATGAAGGACAACGTGGGAAACGGAAGGTGCGTGGCCCAGGCTCACGCCCTGTCCCCGGCCTACCTACTCTTCATTCCTGGAGCTGATTACTTTCAAACAATGCTGTCAATCTGAGTTTTCCCATAGCCATAATGAGGACCAACAAATAAAATAAAAACAAAACCCAAAGCAGCTAGGGCTTTTCCCCACAGCACCAGGATACAAATATCAACTACATTATACTGGGTTACGATCAAATACCACTGGAAGATTCCGTCTGCGTAACTGCATAATTTTCCCAGCGCGAGCTAAATATTGGGGACCTTGAATCAGAGTGAGAATCAGAGTGACATTTCTTTAGTGTTGAACCGCTGATGCTGAGCCTCAGAGGATGTGGCTGTGCTCATGCCAGGCGCCTGGCTGTCACTTGTGCCACCAAAAGCCACGGGAGGAGCAGGGACAGGGCTGTTCTCTAACCACGATTCTGGCTGCAGATCTGTTCAGGGGTGTGCTGCAGTGGGGAGAGGGCTCTGGTCCCCAGCTTCCCCTCTGGGGACACACGCAGACCTAGGCCACGTTCCCTTCGTACGAGGACCTGTGCGAGTGTGGCCAGGCTCCTGGATTTGGCTGGCACGAGGCTGTCTAGGGGCGGGGCTTGGATGCAGCAGGCCAGCGCCTCAGCACATGCGCGCATGCTCTGCGACTCTGCATCGGAGCAGCGTTGGCACTGCACACTGCTCGCTACCACGGGAGCCACCGACAGCCCGTGTGGTTCCTGCTTCCCTTCTCTCTGAGATGCAAGATGCAAGCGACACGGGCGGCCCTGGAGAGGGGTGCGGAGCCGGACGCCCCGATCCTTTACCTCACTTGCTAGCCTCTCGTATTCTTCCATCAGCCTCTCATTCTCTTGATTCACAGCAAGAACCTTACATATCCTGTTAGCTGCTGTCTCAGCCTGCAAAACACAATAGGAGAACAGGATGGCTGGTCCACAGGGAGGAGTCACGCAGCTGGGCGTGGGAGGTGGGATGGGGGGACGTCTTCTCAACACGGTCAAGTCATTAGTTTCCACACAGACTCACGTGGCAGGCGGAAGGTACCGCACGACATACCGGGACGCAAGCTTTGTAAGACACTGAGCAGGTTAGTGACAAGAATACGGGGTCCCAAAATGCCTGTCTACGCTGAACACCCCTCAACACCGGGCCCCTGGCCATGGGGTGGACACTGCCGGAAGGACGCTGGCCTTTGGAAATCAAAGCAGAAATGATCTCATCTTCAACGTATGGATCTACTGTGCTTGGATCTACGAAGACCTACAGAACCTTCTAGATGCCATCGTGTGTGGAGAGGGACCTGCATGTGCCTGATTCCTTGTGATCTGGGGGTTGATTGTGAAGAGGACAGAACCAGCCACCTGTGCCCCACCAGGCTTCCCGGCCATGTCCCCCCCCCCCCCTTCAGACACGCCTTGTGTCTGAAGTCACCATCACTGCCCAGAATGTTCTGGGGAGGTTGTGGCATTGTTTAAACCCTTCCTCCATTTTACCCAGAGTAAGATTGTTCTGGAAATATGTCAGGACAAGTGATTGCACAGAGAAGGCGCGCTGCAGACCGCTGACAGCAGACTGGACACGGGGAAGGCAGTCGTACTCCTCCTCACACTGCCCCTGCCGCCCCAGGCTGATGGCTCAATCTTCAGGGCAATCCCTCCCCCCTTAAAGTACAAATCTAGCCCATGATTTTCCAATAAAAGAAAGGGGGGGAAAATGGTAACAGTGCTTCCGGAACTACCTAAAGCGACGGCTATTTTTTAATCCCGCCCCATGTGGAAGTTGCTGGATTACATGGTTATAACACACTTAGGGAACAAGGTAGGATGTAAAGCGCGCGCACGCACACACCCGGGTACACACACGGCACACAGAGGATGGGTGTGGGCAGCGGTGCACACGCGTTGAATACCTGCTCCGCTCCCGCGAAAGCATGGTAGAAGCAGGAAACGTAAGTCATGATGGCTCTTTCGTCAGGTTTGGGAGTATTCACAATGTCTGAGGGGGAGAAAATAACACAGGACACGCACACCACACACAAACACACACACACACACACACACACACACACACACACAGAGGAGAAACCAAGGTGAAGGAAGGAAAGACAAGTCGTTCACACCGACCACTTCCCGCGGCTCACAGGCCGGTGACTGTGATCCTCGGGAAGGCTGGACAGCACTGAGATGCTTTGGGAGCAGGATTTCTAGAGGTGCCCACCGAGGCTGGGCCCTTCTCCCCTGTGGGGCTGATGAGAGCGCCTGGCTGTGGCCGCCATGCGGGTTCCTCACACCCCTCTCTTCCTCTTCTTCTCACAGGGATGCTGGGGCCCTGCCTGGCTGCCTCCGTGCATGATTTACCTACCGTCCCAGCTATGGAAAGCACCAAGGAGGAGGGGACTACACTACTGTGTCCTGTCACCATGGATGTAGGCTGCTGATGAAACCAGTTGGAAGAGAGAAAGGAAAGCACGTGAGCACACAGCCTTGCTCCTCTGTCTGGGCAATGCCCGCATTCACCACTCGAGCCATACCCTGCCATTCATCCCTTGCAGTGAGACCTCATCATGGAGTCTGTGGGGGCCATCCACAGAAAGAACCTTCTAGAAGACAAACACAAATGGAATGCCAATGCCTGACAGAACATCTCAAAGAAAAGTAGACTTAAAAGAAAAATAAAAGACACAGGGCCGCCTGCTCAGACCCGCATGACGCCCTCCTCGGAGGAGGAGAGACGGGGGAAAGAAAGGAACGACAGAAAAATCATCGAAGACAGAAGGCGAGGCTGAGTGGTGAGCGGTGGCTTCTGTTCTCACCTTCTGGGCACCCGCAAAAGCATGATAGTAACAGGACACATAGGTCATGAGGGCTCGTTCATCGGGTCTGGCAGTGTATACTAAATCTGTGTGGAGAAAAGAAGGTTAACTACTGGATGCTCAAACACTGCACGCTCTGGGGAGAAAGCTCCCTGAAGTCAGGGCCGGCATCCCCCAAACACACACACACACACACACACACACACACACACACACACACACACACACACAGCTGACTGCTTAAACCTCAGCTCAGGTCCAAGTCATTACTTCCAAGTACTTCTGCAGACTACCCCGGGTTGGGGGGGAGGGGGCACGATAGGAAGGAGTTATCCAAGGAAAAGGCATAGATGGTCCAGAAGAGACCAGACCCTAAGAACATACGTGCATGGCCAGAATGAGGCTTCCAGGATTCGAGTACATTCCCCCTATGGTCTTTCTATCACGAGGTGCCAGAAATCTCTATGAGAGTCTACCCATAGAGCTAGCCCCCGGGCCAGCGCCCACAGCTGCACACACAGCTGGAGGGAACAGCAGCGGCTGCACGGCCCTCCACAAGGCTGGTGGCCAGCGAGGTTGAAAAGCAGGCCACCAGCTTCCCTCAGCACAGCCCGCCACGGGGACAGGGCTGATCAGATGCTTGCAAATGCCCACCTGGGGCCAGAGGCCAACAGAAAGCACAAGGGGCCAGGTCAGCGGCAGCAGGGGAGAGGCCAGGCTTCGCTGAGAGCACAGCTGGACGGACAGCATGGTGAAAGAACCCAGACAGAAGGTGGGCTCCCGGAACAGGGTAAAAGTGCAGGGTGCCGAGGGGACCGAGCACAGCATTGCCATCCTGGGAGGCCACGTGCATGGCTGTCCGCCAGCTGTCTACCAGAGATGACTCCACAGAGTAATAACCCATCTGCATACAGGCATCTGAACCACTAGAGAGGGAAGACGCAGAGGGGAAATGGAGGACAAGGGAGAGAAAAAGACAATGGTACCGATGCCCTGTCAGCTACCAAGGACAAGCGGATGGACGTCCATCTGACCCAGGACTCAGAAAGGCAGGAAAGTGGGAATGGCTGAGATGTGAGTCTTGATGCTACTGATAATCAGGGGGGTGAGGGATTGTTCAGAAATGAAACTCACGCTCCATGCGGGAGATGAGAGAGGCATCAATGAGCTGAAAGATGAATTCACAAATTCATGCTGGATACTCATTCAAGAACGCTGTGTCATCAAGGGTGAAAAGGACGGCGACAAATACCAACTCAGCTGGGAGAGACCCGATGGGGAAGATTTTCTATACTTTTACTTCATTACTCTTATCGAGTGTTTCTCTAGTGATCTGGAAAAGCTGTACATAAAATTCTGATAGTATGTTCAAGGGTTAGCGCACCAACAGGTGTTTGGGGGGGAGGGGGGAATAATAGGTGTGTCCATCAAGGATCACTATTAGGGGTTGAATGGTGGTGCCTATCCCAAGATGAGCTGAAATCTTAGCCTCCAGGTGTCCATCAGGAGAGTGAAGATGCCCAAAGACAGACCAGAGAAGTATTGGTGAAGATAAAGCCATGGATGGGGGGATGCTGCCACAAGCCAAGGAGTGCTGGGAATCCCCCAGAGCGCTCAGCCCATGCTGGCACTTGGAGTTCAGATGCAAGAGACCTCTCCAGAGCTATGTGGGAAAGCAATCTCTGTCTTATTCAAGTCTCCTATTTGCCCTCTCAGAACCATGGAAATGAGGAGAAATGGAGGATCCATGATTACTATTAACTGTCATCAAGTTCTTTTCCCCAGTGATGCCAACTACTGAAAACAACAGATCACTAGTGAATAACAACAAAGTAAAAACAAACAAACAAACAAAGGTAGAAGAAGTAATACTTTCATTATTTCCTATAGAACCCAGCAAAGCAGCTTGCTCAGAGCAAGTGTTCAATGTCCATTAGAATATAAATGGATCCGAGATATGAAGTCAATGGTTTCCCTGCACCTGTGTGTTAAATGGTCCACCATAGGTACAACTCACATGAACTTGCCATATAAAAAGCTGGTGCCATATAAAAACTGGTGGCTCACGCCTATAATCCTAGCTAATCAGGAGGCTGAGATCTCAGAATGAGGGTTTGAAGCCAGCCTGGACAGGAAAGTCTACAAGGCTCTTATTTCTAGTCACCAAAAAGCTAATGACAGAGGTATGGCTCAAATGGTAGAGGTATCATCCTTGAGTGAGAAAAAGCAGACAGACAGTGCCCAGGCCCTGAGTTCAAGCCCAATAATGGCACAGAGAGAGAAAGAGACAGAGAGACAGACAGACAGACAGAGAGAGAAAAGGAGAGAGAGAGATCCTCAAAATGACTCCTGCCAGAGTATAGGCGAGGCCTTCAGATCTATCTCAATTCAATTCAATTGAGACTAATTAAAAATACAAATGTGTAGATGGTATGCTGTTGGCTCCATATTTTAAATTTAATTTGATAACTTCTAAGGGATTTTTTCCCTTTAAGTATGTCCTTTAAGGATGTTTATATACTAAACTTGTCTCTATGTAGTGAAGAAAAATACAGTATGTTGCTGAGTAAAAGAAACACATAATTTTAATATTATAAACCAAAGTATCCTGCTTCTTAGCTGAAGCTGAGCTTTTTACAATATAGCTTTGCTGTGTTGTTTGAGTAAAAACTGAAATATGTATGTATATATGCATATATATATATATATATATATATATAATGTGTGAATAAGCTACACCTAAAACTCTAGTACTTGTGTGCCGGGGGACAGAATCTGTTCGGAAGCATAAATCCTTCCGCCGTAGCTCAGCTACAGAGGGTCCTGGAGTCCCCAGAGAGCTGGCCGTCCCAAGCACTGCCGTGACTAACACGGGGACAGCGGTGACAGTCTCACCTTCAGCATCCAGCATTTTGGGAATGTCCAAGTGCTTCTCTGCGATCTCCATGGCCAGGTTGATGTTTCCTATGGGGTCATCCTGAATGGAGAACAACACAACCCAGCTTTTAGGAGGCTCAGACAAGACTCGTGACTGGTGCTCTCACGCAGACAGCACCCTGCCACCCCCAGGCGCCGCAACCCCCCAATTCCTCATTTATCATCGTCCAATCACTCCCAACACAGCCATGCAGCCCCGCTGCACACACGTGAGCACACATCTATTTTGTGGAGGGACAAGGGCCATCGGCATCTTCCTCCCAGATGTGGAAGGTAGAGGGGAAGGGAAGGTTTACTCCACTCGTATGTTTTAAGCAGGGGAAAGTTTAGGGGATGGAGCCATGAAGGGAAGGGGAAGTAGGTGCAGTTCATGGAAGATACCCCAAGGGGGCGACAAAAAGCAAAACTGTGAGGTTAAAGGCTAGGAAAGAGTGTGGGAACCTTCACGTTTGAAGTGATGTGTTTCTGAGGACTCGTTTACTTTCCTCTATAAAAGCGGTTGCATGTATATATAACCAATTTAGATAATAAAATTAACCAGAATTGGATAGAATTGAAATACTATTATAACTGAAATGGATGAGGCTAAGAACAAAATCTCAAACTGACAAGAGACATTGATCCAGGAGCAGCTTTCATCAATTTTATGGGCAAAGTCATCTGAAGAGTTTAGAACCCAGGATGCTGTGCCATGCCTCGTCACTTAACACAGTGGGAGGTGCAGGCTGCAAAGCCACAATGGCTTCCTCCAGAGAAACCAAAGACGTCTCCCCCATGTCCTGTGAAGAGCCCAATACTGCTTCCTGGCCTCTCAGACCACGCCTCCAGCCTGGTTTCATCATTTGCCATTGCAATAAAGATTCATAGGGAAAATGTACGTTGTCCACATGGTGTGTGTGTGCGTGTGCACACCTGTGTGTGCGTGCACACCATTATTGGGCTTGAACTCAGGACAAGCACATTCTCCCTTAGCTTTTCGCTCAAGGATGTGCTCTAGCACTTGAGCCACCACCTCACTTCCAGCTTTTGGTGGTTAACTGGAGGTATGAGTCTCACAGACTTTCCAGCTTTGGCTGGGTTCAAATCTTGATGCTCAGAGCTCAGCCTCTTGAGTAGCCAGGATGACCGGCATGAGCCATATGTTTAACGTATTTCAAGATGACCGCAGGGTAAGAAAACACACACACTGAGGCGCTGGGAAAGCTGCTTTCTATGACAGGGCGTCGTCTTCACCTCTGAGTGCAAGTTAATCTTACCTGTCCTCAAGATCAATGAAGACAACCGGGGTGGTGGTGAAGGTGGGCAAGGGAACCAAAAAGCTGGGAGCAGCCAAAACACGCCCCTTGACTGGCCACACCGCACGGGTGAGGGCAGCATGCAGCAGGCTCGGCCCCCATGCCCCAACCCGACATACATGTGCTCTCCTCAACTGTGACACACACGCAATATCCGGTGGAGCACACCAGCACCAGCTGTGGGGGTCCCAGGGGAGACAGGCCAGACTCTCACCCCAAATCCTCTGCAGCACACAGCACCCGCCCAAAGGGCTCTGGTTTCTTTCTGCATCCCTACCCATACTTTAAAACTTCTTGTAAAGAATGAATTGAAAGCTGAGCGCCAATGGCTCACGCCTGTCATCCTAGCTACTCAGGAGGCTGAGATCTGAGGATTGCGGTTGAAAGCCAGCCCAAGCAGGAAAGTCTGTAAGACTCTTATCTCTAGTAAACCACTCAGAAAACTGGAAGTGGCACTGCGGATCAAGTGGTACAGTGCTCGCCTTGATCTGAAGAGCTGAGGGACAGCACCCAGGCCAGAATTCAAGCCCCACGACTGACAGAAAGAAAGAAAGAAAGAAAGAAAGAGAGAAAGAAAGAGAGAAAGAAAGAGAGAAAGAAAGAGAGAAAGAAAGAGAGAAAGAAAGAGAGAAAGAAAGAGAGAGAGGAAGAGAGGAAGGAAGGAAGGAAGAAAATTTTTTTTGGGGGGGGGAGGGGTCCGATCGTGGGGCCTGAACTCTGGGCCTGGGCGCTGTCCCTCAGCTCTTCAGCTCAAGGCTAGTGCTCTACCACTTGAGCCACAGCACCACTTGCGGCTTTTTTCTTTTTGCTTATGTGGTGCTGAGGAATCGAACCCAGGGCCTCATGCATGCAAGGCAAGCGCTCTACCACTGAGCCACCTTCCCAGCCCAGGAAAAAAATTCTTGTAAAGAATAAATTGAAATATTAATTTCAAGACTCAGGTACAGTAACTTTTAGAGTTAAAGGGAAAACTCAACCTTTCAAAGTTCAATTTTCTGAAAAAAAAAAAAAAAAAGACCAAAACAAAAAGTTGTAAAACTTCTAAGGTGACACTAATTTGTGTCAATACTGAAAGTGTTAAGACAGACTGCTATGGGAGAGACAAACAGTCAATTCCTCTTTGGAGGTCTTTTGTTTTTGTTTATGTGGTTGAACTCGGGGCCTGGGTGCTGTCCCTGAATCTTTTCTGCTCAAGGATAACATTCAACTATTTGGACCACAGCTCCAGTTCTGGCCTTTTTTTGGAGACAAGAGTTTCATGGACTTTCTGGCCCAGGCTGGCTTCAAGCTTTGACCCTCAGATCTCAGCCTCCTGAGTAGCTAGAATCAAGGTAATTAAATTTGAATACTAAATTCTCAATAGAGTTTGGAAATAAATCCTCTAGAAAGTGAAAGAGAAAATTGAAAGGCCTAGAGTATTTGTCAGTACTGCCTGGGGCTTGAACTCAGGACCTTGAATTTGCTCTGCCACTGGAGCCATGACCCCAGCCCAGGCTTGGAGTATTTATGCATCTACCCACTGGAAGACAGAGGCTGTACTGCTGATAGTAACACTCCAGGAGTACAAAGTATTGTAGGTAAATATATAAAGCCTTCCTCAGAGGTAAAGCCAAATCACAAAGGAGCAGGACGGGATTTGGTGTCTTCCTTCCCCGCCACCCACCCTGGGCCACGGGTCAGTGTCTCCCTGATGCTGCCCATCCTCATCCTGGGCAGGCTAGTTTCCCCAGGGCCCCTCAGCCCGGCCCCGGGGGCGTGGGTAGTACGGATGTGCTCACTCCCGGGTGGCATGCTGAGCACAAGATGGGGGACACATGCGGAGGCCCCACGCGCAGTGACCTTGTTGAGCTTGGAGTAGTCGATGAGGTCCGGCCGGTGTCTGTGGATTAGGGCGCAGAGACCCAGGCCGTCCTTCCAGCTTCACAAACGAGGAGCAGAGGCCCGCGGTTAATGGGGAGAACCCAGTAGTGGGTGACCGCTGGAGCACCCCACTTCTCACTGGCACCCACTGCAAATCCCCACTCCCTGCCCTTCTCAGGCGGGATGGGTTTGGAGGTCCCCTCCCCCCCGGGGGGTGTGGACGCCATCGTGAATGGGCTGTGACACAATGCTGGGTTCTGGGGCGGAAGGGGACCCTTCTGGAACACGGAAAACTGGCCCCTATCTGGGGCAGCAGGAGGAGAGTATGGAGGGGCTGTGGGCCAGTCAGTGGGCGCCGCCACTGCCCCCCAGCCCAATCAGCTCCGGGGCTGGGCTCCACTCTGGCTCACCAGGCCCAGCTCAGGGCATCTGTGAATGCAGAGGCTCCTTCCAGCCTTGTCCTCCCTCCCTCCCTCCCGCTACCGACAATCCACAGAAAACAGCCTGTGTGGCAAACACGGGCTGCACTCCAGCCAGGCCGGGTTCCTCTACCTGTCCCCTGTTGCCTTCCAGTGGGATCTCCCTACTTCTCAGGACTCAGAGAGGCCCAGCCAGTGTCAGGAGGGGGGGGGGTGTCTGTGAAACTGGGGAGACAGGCAGGGCACCCCCTCCCCTCCGGCCCGGTGCTTGCCTGGTGTGGAAGTTCTGGATGTTCACGTTTCTGTAAGGGGCCGTCTTCCGCTGACACCACAGCAGCAGCCCTTCTTTGGCAGATGTCTCTGCGGGACAGACAAGAAAAGTGTCCAGGAGGGAATTCTGACCTCCTAGCTCACTTGATTCCCATTTGCTTTCAAAGCACACCTCCCAGCACCCCAGCACCCTCTCCACAAGCACCGAGAGCCAGGACTCTGATCCCACGGACTTCTTTGGGGCTTGCATTTAGGGTCTTGAGGCTCGTGCTGGGCTCTACCATCTGAGCCACACCTCCACTTCCAGCTTTTTGCCGGTTATGTGGAGGTAAGTCTCTCTGATTTGTCTGCTCAGGCTGGCTTTGGACCTCAATTCTCAGACCTCAGCCGCCTGAGTAGCGAGGACTATAGTGAGGACTATATACCAGTATCTGGCTTCCAGAGACAAACACCTGGTAATGCTTAAGGAATTTCAAAAGGATAGTGTAAAAGCAGCTGCAGGTTACACATTAAAAAACAAAAACTGAAGCCAGACTTCAGGGTGAGTAGTATCTTTTTTTTATTTATATTTATTTTTTGTCTGAACTCTGGGCCTGGGCATTGTCCCTCAGCTCTTTAGCTCTAGCACTCTACCACCTGAGCCATAGCACCACTTCCAGCTATTTTTTTCTGCTTATGTGGTGCTGAGGAATTGAACCCAGGGCCTTATACATGCAAGGCAAGCACTCTACCACTGAGCCACCTTCCCAGCTCTGTATCTTTAAAGTGAAAATAATAGAGCCTGGCGATGGTAGCCTGCACCTGTAATCCTAGCAACTCAGGAGGCTGAGAAGTGAGGATTGTGGTTTGAAGCCAGCCAGGGCAGGAAAGTCTGTGAGACTCTGATCTCCAAGAAACTACCAAAAAAGCCAGAAGTGGAACTGTGGCTCAAGTGGTAGAGCACTAGCCTTGAGCAAACAAAGCTCAAGGACAGTACCCAGGCCCCAAGTTCAAGCCCCACAACTGGTCCCAAAAAACCCAAAATCCCAAATTTATACAAAAAATTTTAATTCAGACTATTAATTCAAGCTGGCTGTCATTCCTGAGCCTCAATTAATGTTTTAATCTCACTATGTCATGGTTGGATTTTTAGCTGACATAAATGGGACTCTGGTGCTAAAATTGAAATTTTATATGTGAATTCGAATTCCCCCTGAGGGCAAGAAGATGTCAGGCTTCCTGTCACCCAGCAAAACAATAGGCAAAGAGCTGGTTATTCATGTTTGCTGGTTGGTGAATAACTTAAAATCACCCCAAACGGGCTTGGCAGGCGAGAGTACAAACAACACCCCACCTTTCACACTCGGGTGATGTGGTAGGTTAAAAAGGGAAGGGCCTTGTGCCCTTGCTTGGTTCTTCACTCAAGGCTGGTGCTCTATCACTTGAACCACACCCCTACTTCTAGCTTTTTGCTGGTTAATTCGAGGTGAAAGTCTCACAGACTTTCCTGCCTAGGTTGGCTTTGAACCTTAATCCTCAGATCTGTCTTCTGAGGAGGGAGAGGAAAACTTAGAAGAGCTCTGTCAGTAGTTGTGAACTTACTCATATAATGGGTAAAGGAGCTCCATAAATGTTTGTGGGGGAGGGGATGCGTGCTAGTCCTGGGACTTGAACTTAGGGCCTAGACACTGTCCCTGAGCTTTTTGCTCAATGCTAGCACTCTACCACTTGAGTCATAGCTCCACTTTTGGCCCTTTTTTTTTGGGGGGGGGAGTGAAGGGTTAAGAGCAGTTAAGAGTCTCACAGAGTTTCCTGCCTAGGCTGGCTTCAAACTGTGATCCTCAGATCACAGCCTCCTGAGTAGCTAGGATGACACGCGTGAACTGCGGGGCCCAGTTAAATGCTCATGGCTAAAAGCAACTGCTGCTCTGCACATGCACTCCTCTTCCAAAAGGACCCCATAGCCGTGAACAAAGATAGCGCCCCAGTCTTCCCCAACCACACATCAAACCTCCCATGACTCATCTTCCACGGCCGACATTCTCGGAGGCCCCCCGACTGCCATACCCACGCAACACCACGAGACCCTCAGCAGTGCCCTTCACCTTCCACGGAGATGTCCTGGATGGCGAAGCGGAGGATGATGGTCCAGATCATGCCGAGAGTCATCTTCACATTGCCATCCACGATTTCTGCAGGGGAGAGACAGATGGCCCTGTGAGCCCAGCCTTCCCCAGCAGGCTCTGTCTTCCACTACCGCCCAGCTGACACAAATTCTGGGTTCATCAGGACCACAGATCTGCACATGCCTCAAGGCTGAAAGCCTTGAAAGACTTGTGGCCTTATGACAACAGGAGCCCAGGTCTCAAGTGATCAAATAGAAAATGGTCTCATGGGTTCCCTGATCCTTCCTAACACCCTTCCCACGGGGGAAGAGTCCCAACTCCTGGGGATCCCCAGGTACTCAACACCACCCCCACGTCAAGAACAAGGCCGCTTCCTTTCTAGAAATCACTTCTGCTGAAGAGCCTCTTGCTCCTGTGGGTCTGACTCCATCCAAATACCCCGTGCCTCCGCACCGGCGTGTACACTCTGCGTCCAGCAGGGGGCAATGTGGGAAGCACGGGAGAGGGCAGAGGAAGAGCGCAGGGCAGGCCCGCCAGGGACCCCTCACCTTCAGCCCCGATGGACACCAGCTTCACCCCCTTGCTGGCTATGTAGTCCAGGGCTTTGTTGACGTTGGCGATCTTGTGGAAGCGCATTTTGCCCCGGTCGGGTTTGGGCAGCCTCTCACCTGCAGGACAAGAAAACCAACATGCCAAAACTTGGGGAGAGAGGGCTGCTCCCTAACATGGCTCCAGTTTCTAGAACTCACAGGGGAATGGACACGTACTCAGGACCCATCTGAGCCAGTGAAGCTGCCAAGGTCACTGAAGACACTTGGCTAGAAAGATACAGGTCAGGACAAACTTCCCCTGCCCTCCCCACAGCCCCATCAGCCAACTGAACCCCAACTCAACCAACATGCCGAGTCATGTCTGTATCTACACTGACCTTCGGCTACTTGCAGACTAGGCATGGGCTGGAGTAAGTGGATAGGACAGTGGGATGGGTAGTCAGAGACTTGGTATTTTTTTCTCTCTTCTTTTGTTTTCAGGGGTGGAGGGGGGATAGAAATATTATTTTAGCTGAGCACCAGTGGTCACACCTGTCATCCTAGCTACTCAGGGGGCTGAGATCTGAGATTCATGGTTCAAAGCCAGCCCAGGCAGGAAACTCTGTGACACTCTTATCGCTAATAAACTTCCAGAAAACCAGAAGTGGTGCTGTGGCTCCAGTGGTAGAGCACTAGCCTTGCTCTGAAGAGCTGAGGGACAGGGCCTAGGCCCAGAGTTCAAGGCCCATGACCAAAAAAATATATTAATTTAATAAGTCCATTTTTAACAGAATCTGTCCCTTTGTTTAGAACTGAAAAGGACCTGCAGGCAGGTTCCAGCGACCCGTGTTCTCGGCCGGCCTGGTTCAGAGGGGACTCCATGCTGCCACCTTTAGGCTGTGGCCCCTCCCTCCTCCCTCCTCGTGCGTGTTTGGGGGGGGGGGGGGGATGTGCACACCCACCTGAGATGACCTCCAGCAGCAGCATGAGCTTCAGGCCATTCCGGAAGTCCTCCTCGATGTTCTCAATCTGGGTGCCGGCTTTGCGCAGGTGGGAGTTGCACCAGGCGGTGAAGGTCTGCAGGGAGAAGCAGGCACTGCTGAGCAACCATGGCCGCCTGGCCCCATCCCCCAGGACAACAGGCCACGGGGTCACAGGTCGCGGGGTCACAGGTCGCAGGGTCACAGGTCGCAGGGGCGCAGGCCACACTGCCTGTGCATTTCCACCCACAGGAGGCGGAAGAGCACGGCAATAAAACTTGGAGACCCAGAGCCAAGAGCTTGGCCTAGAGCTGGGCACTAGTGGCTCACATCTGTCATCCTAGCTACTCAGGAGGCTGAGATCTGAGGCAGCCTGGGCAGGAAAGTCCATGAGACTCTCATGTCCCATTAACTAGCAAAATGCCCTAAATGGAAGTGTGGCTCAGGGGACAGAGTATCAGCCTTGGGAGGCGGGGGGGGGGGGGGGTGCGGGGGGAAGCCAATGGACAGCCCTGAGTTCAAGCCCCACCAATGGCACCAAAAAACCCAAAAGTACTCCTCTTTTGAGACAAAGTCATTCGTTTGCCTTACAACTTGAAGACACGCTGTCTTTTCAAGGGTGGCTGCGTTATAGCACTACTCCACCTTCTAAAGAGCCTCTTTTTTTTTGGGGGGGGGTTCCGGTCGTGGGGCCTGAACTCTGGGCCTGGGTACTGTCCCTCAGCTCTTCAGCTCAAGGATAGCACTCTACCACTTGAGCCACAGTGCCACTTCTGGCTTTTTTCTGCTTTTTTCTTTTTGCTTATGTGGTGCTGAGGAATCGAACCCAGGGCCTCATGCATGGAAGACAAGCACTCTACCACTGAGCCACCTTCCCAGCCCTAAAGAGCCTCTTGAAGCAGAGAGACAACGTGAAGATGGGCTTTACTTCCTGCTCAACAAAAATGAGCTTGCCTGCAGAACAATGCATAAGTAATGTCTTTCTTTAGAAGAGAGGGTGGGCGATGCTCCCGTAGCAGAAAGGCAGAGGGAGTGGGGGGAAGGACTCATAGCTACTAATTACCAACAAGGAGTTTACTTCCCATGAGCAACAGTTTTCAACTCTTAACTAAATTAATTAATCACTTAAAAACAACAACAATAATCGTAGCCTCTTACTAGCTTATTCCAGGTACCTAGCTAGATCCTGGATTCTAAACAGGACCAGAGACAGCCCAGCTCCTGATGGCACAAGCCTCAGTGGACAGCACACTATGTTAGCGGCACCCAAAGCCCTTCTGTGTGTTTCTCAAGCTCACTTTAAACAGCGTCCACTGCTGTACTATTTCCTGCCAAACCCAGATTGGAGATGCTTCTGGCAGCTGGAGCTAAGACTGGAAACTGTCTCCTTGTCTCCCAACAGCTGTGGGGCCCAGGAACAAAGTGACTGGCACGTTAAACTGGGGTCAGGAACAGGCAAGGGATACACAAACAGAGTTTGAGTTCAAATTGACCGAGCCAGCCTCTCAAAATGTGCAGCTTCCAACTAAGACAAGAAAAGGACCACGTGACCAAGTACGGCAGCACATACCTATATTCTCAGGACTCAGGCATTCAGGAGGTAGGAAGAGCTCCATCTGAGTCTAGCCTGGGCTACGTAGAAAGTTCAAAGCCGGCTTTAGCTATACCACGAGACGCTGTCTCAAAAATAAACAATTTAAAAAAGACCAAATATCCACCAAAATGATTTTCCTGGTGTAATAAAAAAGATTCTCAAACCAGTCCCTCATTTCAAGAAATATCTGACAGCAAATCAGTTCCACGGCAGAAAGAAAATGTAGGTATTTTCTGGAATTTAAGTAACTTTTTCCTGACAGCCAGTACAGTAATTATTCCTAAAACACATGTGAACTTTCATTAGACTCAAAGCAGGGAATACTAGATCCATAACAATCAATGTGGCAGCCCCTAGCTGTAAGACACTGTTTAAGCTTAAGTTAAAGTGAAACTACATTAAAAAGAGCCCCTGAGTTCCACAGGCCCCTTTCCAATGCTCAGGGACTCTATGTGAGCCTGTGTAGCTACAGAAAAGTCCCTGTGACCAAAAATGTAATGGGACATCAGTGCTCTGAAAACAGATGGCTGTTCAGGGAAGGCAAGGTTACTGTAAGACTATAGCTTCATGCCGGGCACTGTGACTCGTACCTATAATCGTAGCTACTCAGGAGGTTGAGATCTAAGGATCAAAGCCAGCCTGAGAAAGAAACTCTGAGACTCTCATCTCCAATAAACCACCAGAAAACCAGAATTGGTGCTGTGGCTCAAGTAGTAGAGCGTTCGCCTTGAGCTGAATAGCTCAGGGACAGTGCCCAAGCCCAAATACACACACACACACACACACACACACACACATATATATATATATATATATATTTATATGGCTTCATGTTAGTCCATATTCTATACTTACCTTTTGGACTGCTGATATATCTCCTTGCTTCAAAATTCAAGAGGGCATAAAGTATAAGTGGGTCCCTCTTCCCCCTGTTCTCAGCCACCTAGTGCTCTGCCCAGAGAGATCAAAGCTACTGGACTCCCATGTAACCTCCGGTGATCTATGCACGTGGGCACTTACAAACACACACATGATACTATGATACGAATCATAGTAAACGCATGGTTTTGCATCTTGCTTTTTTTTAACTGACTTAAAAAAAATGCGACTTGAGGATCATTCCACATCAATACAGAGGATTCCTTTACTATAGCAGCATAGTATTCCACTGTGCAGCTTATACCACACTTTTTGTAACAGGTTCTATGGCTGGACACTTAAGCTATTTCCAAATAATTAAGTTCTATATTTGTGTGTCTGTGTTTGTGTTACTCACGCACACATGCACACAGTCCTGGGGCATGAATTCAGGACCTACGTGCAGTCCCGGAGCTATTTTTGCTCAAGGCTAGCACTCTAGCACTTGAGCCACAGCGCCACTTCTGGTGTAGTTTTTGTTTATTTGTTTGGGGTTTGGGGGTTTTTGGTAGTTAAATGGAAATAAGCATCTCATGCACTTTCCTGCCGGGGCTGACTTTAAGCCACGATCCTCGGATCTCAGCATCCTGAGTAGCTAGGATGACAGGTGTGAGCCACCGATGCCTGGCTCATTATATTTATGGTTTTAATTACCACGGCCATGGCCTTTGTTCTTGCGTGTTTTGTATCTCCAGCATTTCTGAGAAAAGCCTTTGGATCCCAGAGGAAATAGGAAACTGCACAAGTCCCTGCACCTAAAGGCGGGAGGAGGCGGGCGGGAAATGCACGAATCCTAAACCAGGGCTGTCTATCGGGGCGAAGCGCCCGCGTTCTGTGGCTGTGTATCATTTCTTGTCCTCGAGGCAGGAAGAAGCCCAGGTTGTGGGTTCTAAGCCTGCCCTGCCCTCAGCCTGGCCTGCAGCCCACAGTGGGGTAACTGTATCCCCAAAAGGAAAGAGGAAGGGCAGCCCTGTCCGGCCCGGTCATGGCTCCCAACAGAGTCTGTTTCTGACTATGACAGCTACAATTATTTGTCCTTCGTGTCCTGATGCCGTGGAGGCTGTGACTGCGGTGGCTAGCACTGAGGAGCAGTCAGTGAGGAGGAGGCCAGCCAGCACCGCCCGACAGGCCGGATCTGCACCCTTCGCACCGGAACCCGATTCCCACCAAGCTGATTTTCCAAAATCCGCTCCACTTACATCCACCATGTTACTGCTACCTCCTCCTTCACAAGCTCCTGCCTGGTCAAGCCCACATCCTATCGCCCTCCTGGGTCTTTAATGACTGTAACAAAAGTAAGGGATCTCTAGAGAGCTGTACATGTTTCTAGAATCTTCCGTGAAGGTGGAGCACAAAGGTCGGAGCTGCTTCTCTAAATCAGATCTTTGTCCAGCTCTGGCTTACGGAGGAGACTTGTTTGTCGGAGGGTCAGGGCCTAGCTGGACAGGGCAAGTACCCTGCCATCCATGCGGCTGCCTTGCTTGCTGGTCTTCCAGCCACCAAAATCCCGGGCACACAAGTTGGCAGCACACGAGTCTCTCACCAAACACCACAGCACTAACCCTCACCCACACTGGAAGCCAACAGTGTGATCTTCAGCTCCAGTATCCAGAAGTTCAGACATATTAGAAACTTCTACAAGAGTATTTCTGCTGGCCTCCACTCAGCAGCCAGGAAGTCTCTGAACCCAGGAGCCCCACTGAGGTGGTAACAAAGCAATCATCACAGTGGAGACCGGATAACCAAGTAACTGAGCGAAATCCCAGACCTTTAAGGTAGCCAGGGGCCCAAGCAACTTCCTACAATGCACAGTAAATCTTTTCTTTCTTTTTCTTATTGGTTGTGGGACTTGAACTCAGGGCCTGGGTGCTGTCCATGAGCTCTTTTACTCAAGGTTCTACCACTTTTTTTTTTTTTTTTGCCGGTCATGGGGCCTGAACTCTGGGTCTGGGCGCTGTCCCTCAACTCTTCAGCTCAAGGCTAGCGCTCTACCACTGGAGCCACAGCGCCACTTCCAGCTTTTTCTGTTTATGTGGTGCTGAGGAATCCAACCCAGGGCCTCATGCTCGCAAGGCATGCACTCTACCACTGAGCCACCTTCCCAGCCCCAAGGCTCTACCACTTTGAACCACAGCGCCACTTCCAGTTTTCCAGTGGTTCATTAGAGATAAAAGAGTCACAGACTCTCCTGCTTGGGCTGGCTTTGAATCACAATCCTCCAATCTCAGCCTGCTGAGTAGCCACCAGCCCCTGGCTCAAATCTTAAAAAGCTAACCAGACAGTACGTACATGTAGGTAACCCCAAGAAGCCTACATGAGCTACAGTAAGTTACAAGCATATTTGCAGGTCCATTTGGACTCCTGATGTTCAAATAACTGATATAATCAGGCATGCTATTCTGTGGTGGGCATCAATACCCTGTGCCCCAAATCTCTGCTTTGTCTCCATCCCAGACGCCCACAGCCTGCAGCCGGACCCCAGGACCAGCTTAGACCCTGGTATGAGTGATCAGCTCGCTTTTCTATGCACAGTCCCTCTCCTAAGGAATTCCTGCATCTACCTCATGAAACCAGTCTGCTTGGAG